GGAGGGGGGGGTCGCCGGGCCCGGAGGAGACGACCCTGCCCCGCGGGAGCGCGCCTGCCCCGCGGGGACCCCCCCCCACCCTTCTAAAAAGCCGTCCACGCGCGCCCCCTCGGAGGGGGCTGGCGGGGGTCTTCCCCTCCCCGCGGATGGTAAGGCGGAGGGGGGGGCAAGGCTGGGAGGGGGCAGGGGGGGAGGAATCCTGAGGTGGGGGCAGGGAAGCAGGGGAGGGGGCAAGAAAGGAGGGGAGGGGGGGCAGGAAAGGAAAGGAGGGGGCAGAGAAAGTGGGGAGGGGAGAGGGAAGGAGAGGAGGGGGCAGGAATGGAGGGGAGGGGGCAGGAATGGAGGGGAGGGGGCAAGGAAGCCAGGGAGGGGGCAGGAATGGAGGAGAGGGCAGGAAAGGAGGGGAGGGGGCAGAGAAAGTGGGGGGGGGTAGGAAAGGAGGGGAGGGGGCAAGGAAGCCAGGGAGGGGGCCGGAAAGGAAAGGAGGGGGCAGAGAAAGTGGGGAGGGGGGAGGGAAGGAGAGGAGGGGGCAGGAATGGAGGGGAGGGGGTAGGAAAGGAGGGGAGGGGGCAGGAAAGGAAAGGAGGGGGCAGAGAAAGGGGGGAGGGGGTAGGAAAGGAGAGGAGGGGGCAGGAATGGAGGGGAGGGGGTAGGAAAGGAGGGGAGGGGGGGCAAGGAAGCCAGGGAGGGGGCCGGAAAGGAAAGGAGGGGGCAGAGAAAGTGGGGAGGGGGGAGGGAAGGAGAGGAGGGGGCAGGAATGGAGGGGAGGGGGTAGGAAAGGAGGGGAGGGGGCAGGAAAGGAAAGGAGGGGGCAGGAAATGTGGGGCGAGGGGCAGGGAGGGGGCTAGACCGGAGGGGAAGGGAAGGGGAAGCGGGCAGAGGGGGCAGAGAAACTGAGGAGGGGGCCGTGAAGGAGGGGAGGGGGCGGCCTGCACCACCCCTAAACCAAGACCCCCCCAGCCCCCTCCCAAAGAGCCGGGCTGCGGGGTGAGAAAGCAAAGGGTGAGGCCCGCGCCAGGATCGCCCCTAACCGATCCGCGGATGGGGGACCACCAGGAGACCCACCCCGGCTTTCCCTCGTGCCCCCCCCCACTTGGCTCAGCTCTGCGCTGTATTGTTGGGGGAGGGGCTGTATTACCACTTGGGGGGGCTCTCGGGGATGGGGGGCGGTTTGGGGGTAGATACAGCCCTACAGATACCCCCCCTCTCCCTCTCTGCCAGTTCTCCCCCCCCCGGCCAAAAACTGGGGGGAGGGAGGGTCCCAGCGGGTTGGGAGACCCCCTCCTCCCTCCCTCCAGGTGGGGGGGGAGGGAAAGGGGGGCAGAGGAGCACCCTGATGTTTTGGTGCCCCTCCCCCTCTCTGCCCTGGAGGGGGGGCTGCCCAAATGTAGAGGTGCAAATCTGGGGGGGGGTCCCAGCCAGTTTGGGGACCCCTCCTCTAGGCGGGGGTACAACCCTGAGGTTGGGCTGGGGGTTGATGGTCCCTGGGAGGGGGGGGCTGCCCTATGACCCCCCCAGGACCCCTGCTAGATGTTTCTGGGGGGGGGAGAACCATCCGAGTGGAGAGGGGGGGAGAGACACTTTGTGCATGCCCAGAGGCTTGGAAGCAGGAGGGTGAATGGGCCAGCCTCCTCTCATCAGGTTGGGAAAGACAGGCAGAGGGCATTGGGGAGGGGGGGAGCGGGCAGGAAGAGGAGGGGGCAGGCCTAGCAGGAAGGGGAGGGGATAAGAGGGGCCGAAGGGGGGGGGGGCAAAGGGAGAGGAAGAGGAAGTGACGTTTTGGGCGAGGGTGGGGCAAAGGGAGGGCTAGTTTGGCTACTGGGGTTGTAGGGAGGGGGCACGGAAGAGCAGCCGAAAATGCTAATAGTAATACTACTAATAATAGTAATAATAATAATAGTAGTAGTAGTAGTAGTGGTAGTAATAATAATAATAAAATAATGATGGTGATGATAATAATAAATAGAATAGAATGTTAGGACTAGGGTATTAGAGTATAATAATAGTAATAGAATATAATGATAATAAATAGAATAGAATATTAGAATAGGATATTAGAGTATAATAATAGAATAGAATATTAGAATAATAACAACAATAATGATAGAATATTAGAATATAATAATGGTGGTGGTGATGACAATACATAGAATAGAATGTGAGAATAGGATATTAGAATATAATAGTAATAAAAGCATGATGAGAATAATGAATAGACTAGAATGTTAGACTCGGATATTAGAGTATAATAATAGTAATAGAATGTAATAATGATGGTAATAATAATAGAATAGAATATTAAAATAGGATATTAGGATAATAACAATATAATAATAATAGAATATAATAATGATGGTGATGATAATAAATAGAATAGAATATTAGAATAGGATATTAGGATAATGATAACAATATAACAACAACAATAATAGAATATTAGAATATAATGGTGAGGATGGTAAAAAATAGAATAGAATGTTAGAATAGGCTATTAGAATATAATAATACTAATAGAACATAATGATGATGATAATAAAAGAATAGAATGTTAAAATAGGATATTAGAGTATAATAATAATAGTAATAGAATATATTTTTCCTCCTTTCTTTCCCATCCTTCTTTCTTTCCTTCCTTCCTTTTTCTCTGTCTCTCTCTCTCTCTCTTCCTTCCTTTCTTTCTTTCTTTCTCTCTCTCTCTCTCTTCCTTCCTTTCTTTCTTTCTTTCTCTCTCTCTCTCTTCCTTCCTTTCTTTCTTTCTTTCTCTCTCTCTCTCTCTTCCTTCCTTTCTTTCTTTCTCTATCTCTCTCTCCTTATCCCTTTTTTCCTTCCTTTCTTTCTTTCCTTCCTTTTCTTTTTCTCTGTCTCTCTCTCTCTCTCTCGCCCTATCCCTTTCTTTCTCTCTCTCCCTCCCTATCTCTTTCTTTCTTCCTTCCTTCCTTCCTTCCCTCCTTTCTCTCTATCTTTCTCTCCTTATCCCTTTCTTCCTTTCTTTCCTTCCTTTCTTTTTGTCTCTCTCTCCCTATCCCTTTCTTTCTTCCTTCCTTTCTTTCACTCTCTATCTCTCTCCCTATCCATCCCTTCCTTCCTTCCTTCCTTTCTTTCTTTCTTTCTTTCTTTCTTTCTTTCTTTCTTTCTTTCCCTCTCAAGTGTAATTGGACACAAAACGAATTTGTACAGAATCCTTCCTTCCTTCCTTCCTTCCTTCCTTCCTTCCTTCCTTCCTTCCTTCCTTCCTTCCTTCCTTCTTCTTTCTTTCCCATGTGTCATAAACACGAGACAGTCACCAACTGTCTGCCACCGTCACGAGTGTGAAAAACGCTCCTAAATCCCCCCTCCACCTTTTATTTCCTCCCCCCGGCGACATTTGTAACGTCCCGCCGTCACTAAGCGAACTGCCGTACCTGCCCCAACTTAAAAGGGATTCACCAAACGGGGAGGGGCGGGGCAAGGGAGGGCGTCCAATGGGGGCGAAGCTGACTTCGTGAGCGTGTCTTGCTTAGCGACGGAAATGTGGGAGGTGTTTCAATTGCGGTCGTAAGTCGAGGACTCCGGGGGTCGTCCGGGCAGCCAATCACCCGGCATTTGGCGAAGAGCAGCCAACTCCCCCACAAAGTGGGCAGGGCTGGATTGGGGAGGGGGCTGATGCAAAGGAGGTATTCCCAGGACCCTAATCCCCGGCCGGCCTTGATTCCCCTAGGTGCCGGTGCGGGGCGAGGACCCGGCTTTCCATCCGGTGCCCGGACATTGGCGAGGCTGGACGGGACGGCACGACGACGCCATGCGGGAGAATTACGGCGCTGCGATGGCGCCGGGTAAGTCGCCAATTCCACCGGGCGCGCCAGTTTCCCAGGGGGTTGGGCTAGATGACCTCCGAGGTCCCTTCTGTCTCTGTGATTCTATCGGGGTCTCTTGCTGGAGCAGGGGGTTGGGCTAGATGACCTCCGAGGTCCCTTCTAGCTCTGTCATTCTGTGATTCTGTCAGGGCCTCCTGCTGGAGCAGGGGGTTGGGCTAGATGACCTCCGAGGTCCCTTCCATCTCTGTGATTCTGTCGGGGTCTCTTGCTTGAGCAAGGGGTTGGGCTAAATGACCTCCGAGGTCCCTTTCATTTCTGTCATTCCATGATTCTGTCAGGGTCTCCTGCTCGAGCAGGGGGTTGGGCTAGATGACCTCCGAGGTCCCTTCCGACTCTGTCATTCTGTTGGGGTCTCTTGCTTGAGCAAGGGGTTGGGCTAAATGACCTCCGAGGTCCCTTCCATCTCTGTCATTCTGCGATTCTGTCAGGGTCTCCTGCTCGAGCAGGGGGTCGGACTAGATGACCTCCGAGGTCCCTTCCCACTCTTGCTATTCTGTGATTCTGTCACGGTCCCCTGCTCAAGCAGGGGGTTGGGCTAGATGATCTCTGAGGTCCCTTCCATCTCTGTGAATATGTCGGGATCTCTTGCTTGAGCAAGGGGTCGGGCTAAATGACCTCCGAGGTCCCTTCCCAATCTTGTTATTCTATGACTCTGTCAGGGTCTCCTGCTCGAGCAGGGGGTCGGGCTAGATGACCTCCGAGGTCCCTTCCAACGGTTCTCCTTTTTTTGTTCCCCTTGGCAGGCGCACCGCTCGGCAAACCGGAGATGGCCCCCCACCAAGGTGGTCTCTTGCCAGGCAAGGGGCAGGGGGCAGCGGAGGCCCGGCACACCCCTGATGCAGGTCTGTACACCCGGGGTCCGAGAGCGAATCCTGGAGGACGGGGGGGGTTGGAGGTCACCGAGGGCTGGGTGACTTGGGGCCAATCGCCAGGCGACGGGGAGTTGTAGTCCCGCCTTAGGCAGGAAAGCAGGCTGGGAGTGTTTTGGCGTCCTTCTTTCTCATCCCGACCCCCCCTTGCAGAGTTGTCGTTGTGGGCAAAAGAAGAGAAGGAAAGTGTGTTTAGTATGTCACACTCTTGAGTTATTTGCAAAATAACAATAATAGGCACTTGAAAGCATCCACCCTGGAGCCCTACTCTTCTCCATTTTATTTTATTTTATTTTATTATTTCATTTATTTTATTATTTTATTTTATTGTTTTTTGTTTTTTTATTTCATTATATATTATTTTTATTTCATTTTATGGATTTGATTTGATTTTAATTTTATTCCAGTTTATTTTAATTTTGTTTTATTTTATTCTGTTATTTTGATGTATTTGTTTTATTTCATTTCCTTGTTTTTTTTTTGTTTTATTTCATTATATTTTATTTTTTTATTTTATCCATTTGATTTGATTTCACTTGATTTTAATTTTATTATATTTAATTTTATTTTGTTTTACTTTATTCTATTTTGATTTATTTTGTTTTGTTTTGTTTTTTGTATTTTAGTTTATTTTATTTCATTTTTATTTATTTTAATGTAATTTAATTTAATCTAATTTTTATTTTATTTTATTATTTTTTATTTTTATTTGATTTTGATTTGATTTGATTTAATTTTAATTTGATTTTTATTTTAATTTTAATTTATTTTTTTATTGTTTTGATTTAATTTAATTTTATTTTATTTCATTGTATTTTATTTTTATTTTATTTATTTGATTTGATTTAACTTTATTTTAATTTTATTATAGTTAATTTAATTTAATTTTGTATTTTATTCTATTATTTTGATTTGATTTAATTTATTTTTATTTTATTTTTATTTCATTATATTTTATTTTTATTTTATTTATTTTAATTTTATTTTATTTTATTTCATTATATTTTATGTTTATTTTATTTATTTGATTTGATTTAACTTTATTTTAATTTCATTATAGTTTAATTTAATTTAATTTTGTTTTATTTTATTCTATTTTGATTTGATTTAATTTATTTTTATTTTATTTCATTATATTTTATTTTTATTTTATTTTATTTATTTTTATTTTATTTTATTTCATTATATTTTATGTTTATTTTATTTATTTGATTTGATTTAAGTTTATTTTAATTTTATTATAGTTTAATTTAATTTAATTTTGTTTTTTATTCTATTATTTTGATTTGATTTAATTTATTTTTATTTTTATTTCATTATATTTTATTTTTATTTTATTCATTTTAATTTAATCTAATTTTAATTTTATTTCATTGTATTTTATTTTTATTTTATTTATTTGATTTGATTTAATTTAATTTTAATTTTATATTTTAATTGAATTTTGTTTTGTTTTGTTTTATTATTTTGATTTATTTTATTTTGTTTTTTGTTTTTTATTTTATTTTATTATTTCATTTTATTTTTGTTGAATTTAATCTCATTTTAATTTTACTTGATTATATTTTATTTTTATTTTGTTTTGTTTTATTGTTTTGATTTGATGTATTGATTAGTGTTATTTCATTGTTGTTTTATTTTGTCATTTTACCTTCGTTTATTCCATTTTTTTATTGTTTTACTTTTTTTGGCTTGATTTGATTTTATGCTATTGTTTTATGTTTTATTGCTGTGGAATTGTTTTCATTTCTTGTCTTGGTTTCATTTTTATTTCTTTGGCTTTATTTTTACCTCATGTCATTTTCGCCTCTTTTATTTTTTATTATTTTTTTTTACTTCCTTGAATGTGCGACTTTGTTTTATTGTATGATCTTATTGCTCTTTTATTTTTTAATTCTCTCTTATTTCTTATGTTTGGTTTTATTCGATTGTGATGTTTCCTTTTTTTTATGATTTGATTTTATTTTACTTTCATTGACGGTTTTATTTGATGGTTTTATTTCTCTTTAATATTCTTTTGATTTACTTGGATCTTCTCTTTTGATTTGCCCCCTTTCCCAGATTCGGGCCCTCCGGGATTCGAACCGGCCGCTAAGAGGGACCAGCGGTTCCAGGAGGCAGCAGAGAGGCCCGTTGGGCCCGAAGATCCAAAGGATCCAACCAAGAGCTGTCCAGGTGAGGCATGGCATCACACCTGAGAATCCAAGACCCGCACCTGTGGGAGGGTGCCTCTGAGTTTACGCAGAGTGCACGTCCCTCAGCTCAGTGGCTCTGGAAGAGCCGGGGAAAGTCGGGCGGTCCTGGCCTCTTCCGTTTGGGAACCTCTCTCCTGCCCTGGCTGGGGGGGGGAGCCCCCTCCCACCTGTACCCCCAACCCGCCTCGATGCTGGAGCCGCAGGTAATCCCTCTTTCTTGGTGGTCTCCCAACCACCACCCTGCGATGGTAGGCCAGGCTGAGCGACAGAACCGCCTAGACCAGGGGTCCCCAACCTGCGGGCCGTGGCCTCTTGGCCACCAGGCCACGTGAATGGCTGGCCAGTGCGTGTGTGTATGTGTGTGCGTGCACACTCTCCCCCCTCAATCGCGCTGGCACAGCCCTACCCCCGCCCCCAGTGTCGCACGGATGCTAAACACACCCTGAGCATCACTCTAATGTTAGGCTCTCCTTGCGACACGGGTGCTAGGCACGTGGCCAGCGTCGCGCGGGCGCTAGGCACATGCCCGCTGTCGCACAGACGCTAGGCACATGCCCGGCGTTGCGCAGGCACTAGGCACGTGCCCGCTGTCGCGCGGACGCTAGGCACGTGCCCGGCGTTGTGTGGGCATTAGGCACGTGCCCACTGTCGCACGGATTCTAGACACGTGCCCGGCGTCGCGCAGGCGCCAGGCACATGCCCACTGTCGCACGGACTCTAGACACGTGCCCGGCGTCGCGCAGGCACTAGGCACGTGCCCACTGTTGCGTGGACGCTAGGCACGTGCCCGGCGTTACGTGGGCATTAGGCACGTGCCCACTGTCGCACGGATTCTAGACACGTGCCCGGCGTCGCGCAGGTGCCAGGCACATGCCCGGTGTCGCACGGACGCTAGGCACGTGCCCGGCGTCGCGCAGGCACTAGGCACGTGCCCGCTGTTGCGTGGACGCTAGGCACGTGCCCGGCGTTACGTGGGCATTAGGCACGTGCCCACTGTCGCACGGACGCTAGACACGTGCCCGGCGTCGCGCAGGCGCCAGGCACGTGCCCGGCGTCACGCAGGCGCCAAGCACGTGCCCGGCGTCACGCAGGCGCCAAGCACGTGCCCGGCGTCACGCAGGCACTAGGCACGTGCCCGCTGTCGTGCGGACGCTAGGCACGTGCCCGACTTCGCGCGGGCGCTAGGCACGTGCCCGGCGTCGCACGGGCGCTAGGCATGTGCCCAGCGTCGCGTGGGCATTAGGCATGTGCCCACTGTCGCACGGACGCTAGGCACGTGCCCGCTATCGCGCGGACGCTAGGCACGTGCCCAGCGTCACACAAGCGCTAGGCACGTGCCCGGTGTCATACGGGCGCTAGGCACGTGCCCGGTGTCGCGCAGGCGCTAGGCACGCGCCTGGCGTCGCGCGGGTGCTACGCCCTTGCCCAGCATCGCGTGCGCACTCACACCGCTCCCATTTGCATTGCATGTGTGCACCTGCCTCCCCCTACCTTTTACTTCGGGGCGCCTAGAGTCCCTCCCGGGCTCACAGGGATTTTAACCTCAGATTGACCCCTAATTCTAATCGATTCGGACTGATTCCATGTAATAATAATAAAAATAATAGTAATTATTATAATCATAGAGTTGGAAGGGACCTCGGAGGTCTTCTAGTCCAACCCCCTGCTCAGGCAGGAACCCCCTACTCCATTTCAGACAAACGGTGGCCCCGTCTCTTCGTAACATTTGCGCGCTTCTGACCTTGAACCCCCGTCCCACAGGAGACTGGCTGATCCGGACGGTGAAGGTGGAAGCTGATGACTACGCGGAGTGGCCGGCCGGGCTGAGCACGGAGGCGATGCTGTCTGGACTGCCCCTGGCCAGCGCCTGCAAGTCGGAAGGCCGCATCCCCGGATCGGAGTACAAGGACAGAGCCGGGCTGGGAGAACTTTCCGGACTGGCCTTGCAACAATGGCAAATGTTGAGTGAGGACAAGTCGCTGGGCTGCCCCCGCTGCGAGCATCCCGCCGCCCCGCTCGGCGGCAGCCTCGGGGACCCCCGCCCGCGCCCCTTCGCCTGCCTGCAGTGCGGCAAGGCCTTTGGCAAGAAGGCCCACCTGACGCGCCACGCCCGGGTCCACACTGGCGAGCGCCCTTTCGCCTGCACCCACTGCGGCCGGCGTTTCTCCCAAAAGATCCATCTGGGCTCCCACGAGCGGGTGCACACCGGCGAGCGCCCCTTCCCTTGCGACCGGTGCCCCAAGAGCTTCCGCAAGAAGACCCACCTGGTGCGCCACCAACTCCCGCATACTGGCGAGCGGCCCCACGCCTGCGCGCTCTGCCCCCGCAGCTTCGTTCATCGCCGGCACCTGCTGCGCCACCAACGGCTGCACGAAGAGGAGGCGGCCCGCGTTGGAGAGCTGGCGGCGCTGGGCCCGGTCGCCCCGTCGTGTGGGAACAGCCTCGAGCTCGGCGCGGCGGGGAACGTGCCCCTCTCTGGAGACACCCTGGCGTCCGCCTCCGCTGTCCTGGGACAGAGCTGTAGGGTTCAGGGCGACCACGCACCAGTCAGCTTCCCGTACGGGCCTGGGATGGAGCTGGCGAAGTACCCCCCTTCCTGTGGAGGGCACACGGAGCCCAATCAGGGGCCCCTCCTTTTTAAGGCAGAGTCTGAACCGGAGGTGGGTGGGAACCCGGGCGCGGAGCGGGAGGACCGGCCCATGGGAGAACCCTTTCTGGACCCGGCAGGTTGTAGAGCCCTCTGCGGGGTGCCGATCTCGGACGGTCCCCCGTATCTGGAGCAAGTGGGCAAGGTGGAATCCGAGGAGGATGCGGGGGCCAGTCAGCAACTGGAAGAGAAGCCGTTCCTGTGTTCCGATTGCGGGAAAGCCTTCGCCTGGCGGAAGAACCTGGCGTCCCACCAGCGGCTGCACGCCGAGGGGGGACGCCCCTTCTCCTGCGCCGAATGCGGCCGGGGTTTCAGCGACAAGCGTCACCTGACAGCCCATCTGCGCGGTCACATGGGCCTGCTGCCCTACGCCTGTCCCCACTGCGAGCGCAGCTTTGCCCACCGGGCCGGGCTGGCCGCCCACCAGTGTGGGGGCCACACGGGGCAGCGCCCCTTCCCCTGCAATGAGTGCGGCCGTTGCTTCGCCCACAAACGCCACCTGCAGAGACACTGGCGCAACCAGCACTCGGCCGAGCGCCCCTTCGCCTGCGCCCAGTGCGGGCGCGCCTTCAGCACCCGAACCAGCCTGCTGGCGCACGTCAAATCCCACGCCGGGCAGCGCCCCTTCGCCTGCCCTCTGTGCGGGCGCGCTTTCAGCCGCAAGTCACACCTGGCCCGCCACGAGGCCGTCCACACGGGGCTGCGCCCCCACGCCTGCACCCAGTGTCCCCGGCGTTTCAGCTCCAAGACCAACCTGGTGCGGCACCAGGCGGTCCACACCGGTCTGCGCCCGTACATCTGCACCCACTGCGCCCGCAGCTTCAGCCGCAAGACCCATCTCTTGCGCCACGAGCGCACCCACACCAGCGCACCCTTGCCCACCTCCACCGCGTGGGTGACCGCCTTGCCGCAGAATTCCTTGCTGCAGCCGATCGAGCAGCGCCCGCCTCTCCTGTTACCCATGGCTCTGGAGTCTCCCTGGCAGTGAGGAACACCCCCAGCCCCCCAAATCTTCCCCGTTTTATGCTGTCGTCAATGTAGCTTGAGGTGCCCTCTGTCCTTCCGAAAAACGGCACATCTTGCGAGCTGAAAATGACATTTTGATATCCGGGCAATTGACAACATTTCGACCTTAAGTTCACGTTTTCTAACTTTGTGCAGACTGGCGGGGTGAGTAGGGAGAGAGGGTGACCCTGTGCGAGTGGCCAGCGAGAGCGCTCACTCCCCCGCAGCTCCATGTGAGCGAGCGACGGGCACGCACTCCTGCACGCCGCTCGGGCAAACGCTGCACGCTCTCGCCCGCTGCTCATCCATCACTTCTGCAGGACCGTTCTTCACTGCAGCGGGCGGTTCACACCGGACTGCGCCGGTACATCTGTACCCATCACCGCTTCAGCCACAAGACCCACCTCTGGCACCACGAGGGCACCGATTGGGTGACTGGCACGACGAGCGGGGAGAAGGGATGGCCCCGTACAAGTGCATGCAGCTCCATTTGAGCAAGTGGCCGGTACTTGTGCACGCCGCTTGCAGAAATGGTGCGCACGCTCTCACCCGCTGCTCGTCTACCACTGCAGCCAAACTTTCCAAACTGCCCCAGGTGGTTCATACCAGGCTGCGCCTGTACATCTGCACCCACTGCGCCCGTAGCTTTGGCCGCAAGACCCACCTGTGGCGTCACGAGCGCACCCCACACCAGTGTTCCCCTGACCAGCACAGGGAGAAGGGATGGTCCCGTACGAGTGCATGCAGCTCCGTTTGAGCGAGCGGCAGGCACTCGTGCACGCTGCTCGCGCAAATGGTGCGCACGCTCTCACCCACTGCAGCCCCTTCCCAAACTGCACCGGGTGGTTCATCCCAGGCTGTGCCTGTACATCTGCACCCACTGCGCCCGTAGCTTTGGCCGCAAGACCCACCTGTGGCGCCACGAGCGCACCCCACACCAGTGTTCCCCTGACCAGCACAGGGAGAAGGGATGGTCCCGTACGAGTGCATGCAGCTCCGTTTGAGCGAGCGGCAGGCACTCGTGCACGCCGCTCGCGCAAATGGTGTGCGCGCTCTCACCCACTGCAGCCCCGTCCCAAACTGCACCAGGCGGTTCATCCCAGGCTGCGCCTGTACATCTGCATCCACTGCGCCCGTAGCTTTGGCCGCAAGACCCACCTGTGGCGCCACGAGCGCACCCCACACCAGTGTTCCTGATTGGCACGGCGAGCGGGGAGACGGGATGGTCCCGTACGAGTGCGTGCAGCTCTGTTTGAGCGTGCGGCAGGCACTCGCGCACGCCGCTCGCGCAAATGGTGTGCGCGCGCTCGTCCGCTGCTTCTGCGGCCTGGTTCATGGGCCCCCTCGGGCTGCAGCCCACAGGTTGGCGACCGGAGCTAGACCTAATTTATTCCGATTATCCCGTCTCGGAAGGCCTGCTTCTTGTTCTTTTCAAGGTGTCTTCAGTTGTGGCCAATATGCACCCCGATCCCTGTTACAACTGTCGCAAAGACACACAACGCTTTTTTTTTTTTTTTTTTTTGGTGAAAGACCGTGATCCGCAGAGCCTCCGAAGGGCCCAGACATGGGTGGGGGGGGCCCGCGTGAGCCTCAATCTCTTTTTTTGGGCAAAACATCAAATTATTGGGCTGACTTTGGTTTTAAATGATAACGGAAACGCTGGTGGGTTTTTTTGGGGGGGCGGGGGGAAAAAAGGGTAGACAAATCATTTTAGTAGCGTCCTAAAGGCAAAAAAATAAATAAATAAATTACGTTTTGTAATCCTTTCTCTGATATAAACAATAAAAGAAAAAAAAACTTGACTTCTGTCTCCGGTCTTAATTTTATTTTATTTATTTTTTTACAGAGTGAAATTGAGGCCTGGTGAGACGGGTGGTTGTGCCGGGGTGGGGGGGCTCGTGTTTTTTAAAAATAAAAATATAACAAAATAATAATAATAAAGTTGGAAGGGACCTTGGAGGTCATCTAGTCCAACCCCCTGCTCAGGCAGGAAACCCTATACCATTTCAGACAAATGGCTGTCCAGTCTCTTCATAATAATAATAATAAAGTGGGAAGGGGCCTTGGAGGTTATCTAGTCCAACCCGCTGCTCAGGCAGGAAACCCCAGACCATTTTAGACAAATGGCTGTCCAGTCTCTTCATCATCATCAAGTTAGAAGGGATCTTGGAGGTCATGTAGTCCAACCCCCTGCTTAGGCAGGAAACTCTATACACATTTCAGACAAATGGCTGTCCAGTCTCTTCATAATAATAATAATAAAAAGTGGGAAGGGACCTTGGAGGTCATCTAGTCCAACCCCCTGCTCAGGCAGGAAACCCCAGACCATTTCAGATAAATTGGCTGTCCGTCTCTTCATAATAATAATAATAATAATAAAAAGTGGGAAGGGACCTTGGAGGTCATCTAGTCCAACCCCCTGCTCAGGCAGGAAACCCCAGACCATTTCAGATAAATTGGCTGTCCGTCTCTTCATAATAATAATAATAATAATAATAATAAAAGTGGGCAGGGACCTTGGAGGTCATCTAGTCCAACCCCCTGCTCAGGCAGGAAACCCCAGACCATTTCAGATAAATGGCTGTCCAGTCTCTTCTTCTTCTTCATCATCATCATCATAAAGTGGGAAGGGACCTTGGAGGTCATCTAGTCCAACCCCCTGCTCAGGCAGGAAACCCCAGACCATTTCAGATAAATGGCTGTCCAGTCTCATAATAATAATAATAACAATAATAATAATAATGTGGGAAGGGACCTTGGAGGTCATCTAGTCCAACCCCTTGCTCAGGCAGGAAACCCTATATACCATTTCTGACAAATGGCTGTCCAGTTTCTTCTTCAAAACTTCCAGTGTGTTTCTTCCCATTTCGGAGTACTTTCAACTTTTGAGAAGGCTTCAAAATACTGGAAAAAGTATTCAAAGATGTCTTCCAAAGCTGGCATATTATCCTACACTCTTAATTATATTTTTATCATCATCATCATCATCATCATCATTATTGTTGTTGTTGCTTTCTTTGTGGGTATCTAATATTAATAGTATTGTCTTATTATCTCTTGTGTTTGAAGGGGCCCTTGACGCTCTCTGAGCTTGCTTGCTTTTCATTTACCTTAACTCTGTGCTTTATTTACTAAATATGTAATTTATAATATTGTGTCGTTTCTCCTCTGCCAACATTTCAGCACAAATGCCCGGAATTTTAAAAATTTTATGGATTTTCATTGCAGACGTTTCATGACCCAACTAGGGAATGTCTTCAGCGCTAGAAGGGAGTGAGATTTGTGGGGGGGGGGGAGGAAGAGAAGAGGAAGAGGAAGGAAAGTGGGGTTCTTACTGCTGTGTGAGCTGGGTGGTTTCCTTGCAGACGTCTCACGACCCAACTAGGGAACATCATCAGGGCTAGAAGGGAGGGAGGGAGGGAGGGAGGAAGGAAGGAAGGAAGGAAGGAAGGACTGTGGAGTCCTTGGTGCTGTCTGAGCTGGGTGGTTTCCTTGCAGACGTCTCATGACCCAACTAGGGAACGCCATCAGAGCTAGAAAGAACTGAATATAAACAGAATGAACTCACCCTTCCTCCTAGCATTCATGATGTTTCCTAGTTGGGTCATGAGACGTCTGCAAGGAAACCACCCACCTCAGAGAGCGCCAAGGACCGTACTTTCCTTCCTTCCTTCCTTCCTTCCTTCCTTCCTTCCTTCCTTCCTTCCTTCCTTCCTTCCTTCCTTCCTTCCTTCCTTCCTTCTAGCACTGATGCTGTTACCTAGTTGAGTCACGAGACGTCTGCAAGAAAATCTTCAAGCTCAGAGAGCACCAGGTACCCCACAGTCCTTTCTTTCCCCCTCCTCCTCCTCCTCCTCCTCCGCCCCCCCCCGTTCTAGTCCCGGCAGGGGGCGCCATCCTTGCCACTCGGAACGGAGCTGAATTCGAGCCCGCATTAAACCACCATTCTCACCGTTCTTGCTCTTGCCGATCGGGAGCGGCTGGGCGCGACTGCCCTTCCCATCATCCCCACCGGCGTGGGGGGGGGTAGATGGGTGGGCAGAACTGCCACCCCCCAGCCCCCCCTCCCCAGCAGGTGAGTCTCCCCGGCTGGCCGGGGGTTGCAGGAATATGCCCCCCCCAAAAGCCTTTTTTTTCCCCCTTTCTTGGGGTGGAAAGAAGGAAAAAAAAGGGGGGGGGAAATCCAGCCGTGCTGTGCCTTTAAAACCCCCCCGGGAGGGGGGCGGGCGTTGCCATGGCAATGCGGGCCGTTTCTTGGGCGGGGAGGGGGCCCGGAACAGCCAAAGCCGGAGGAGGAAGAGGAGGAGAAGGAGGAAGGGTAAGGGGGTGCAGGGTCCGTGGGGGGGGGAGGAGTGAGGGGGAGAAAAGTGGGGGGGGCTTTTCTCCCCCACTCCCCCCCCCAGGACGACCCAAGGAAGGGAGGGAGGGAGGATGCTGAGAGGATGCGAGGGGGTTGCCATGGAGACAGAAGAAGGGGAGGAAGGATGCTGGTACCCGCGTCCATCCTTTTGGTGGTGGGGGGGGCTAATCTGTGCCCCTCTGCCCGGGGAGGGAGATCACACACACACACACACACAAACACAAACACACACACACAGAGACACTCCAAATGGCAGCCAGGTCGGCTCCCGTCCTTAGCAACCCTCCCCGGCAACTGTGTTGTGTTTGGGTTGTGTTGTGGCTGGTTGCCGCAGCGCCTGGCACGCAGCAATGTGTGTCTCTGTGTGTGTGTGTGTTTTGGGGGGGAGGGGACAGGCTGACTTGAGGTTATGAAGAGGGCTGGGATTCATGCCAGGCGGGAAATTCGCGTGGGGATTTTTTTTTTCCTCCCCACGACAGCCCTGCGAGGTAGGCAGGGGCTGGGCGAAAGGGGGGGAAAAGGGACCCCCAGCAACCTCCCCCCCACTCCCACCCCTGACAGCTTAAGAGACACCCCCCCCCGCTCATTTGAGAACTCTGCGGCAACAGAAAAAACAAGCCCTAGTGCTTGAGGACTAGCGCCTTGGGGCCCGGGGCTGCGTCCCAGGAGAAGAGGCGGAAGGGATCCAGACAGATTTGGGGGTCCCAGATTGGAGCATGGCGGTGGGGGGGGGAGGAGGATCCCAAAATGGATCTAGGGGATTCCCCCCCCCTCCTTGGGCTTGTCCTGAAAATTAGGGGCAATCTGGGGGTTACGTTTTGTTTTGTTATGTTCCTTTTTATTTTATTTCACATTTTTTTTATTATTTTTAACTTTTATTTTGTTTTGTATTTTTTATTTTGTTTCTTTTTTATTTTCACGGTTTGTTTTATTTATTTTATATTATAATTATATTGCTATGTGAGGTTATTTTTTATTTTGTTTTTTGTTTTTATTTGATTGTATTATCGTTTATTTTATTTTTATTTGTTCAGCTTTCATTATTGGTTTCATTTTATTTTTATTGGATGTCATTTCTTTTTTATTTTGTTTTGTTTCTTTTATTTTATATATTTTTTATTTTTTTATTTTAAAATGTTATTTTATTGATGTCATATTATTATTTGAGGTTATTTTTATTTCATTTTTTTATTTTATTTCATTATTGGGTGTTATTTTATTTTCCCATTATTTTTATTTTGTTTTATCTTATTTTATTTTTCTTTATTTTATTTTTGTTATTTGTTTCATTTTATTTTTATTTTATGTCAGTTTTTTCATTTTTAATTTAATTTGATTTTTAAATGTTTTATTTATTTCACATTATTATTTGAGGTTATTTTTTACTTCATTTCATTATTGGGTGTTATTTTGTTTTCCCTTTATTTTTATTTTATTTATTTGACTTTGTTTCATTTTATTTTTAGTTTATGTTATTTATTTTTTAATTGATTTTGTTTCTTTTAGTTTACATTTTTTGTTTTTATTTTTTATTTTAAAATGTTCTTTTATTTATTTCATATTATTATTTGAGGTTATTTTTTTATTTCATTTTATTATTTGGTGTGATTTTATTTTCCCTTTATTTTGATTTGATTTTTATTTTATTGATTTGACTTTCATTATTTGTTTCATTTTATTTTTATTTTGTTATTTTATTTTTTATTTTATTTTGTTCCTTTTATGTTACATTTTTTATTTTATTTTACTTTTTATTTTAAAATGTTCTTTTATTTATTTCATATTATTTGAGATTATTTTTTATTTCATTTTTTATTTCATTTTATTAGTTATTTTATTTTCACTTTGTTTTATTTTTATTTTTTATTTCATATTTTATTTTAATTGTATTTACTTTACTTTCACTATTTGTTTCCTTTTATTTTTATTTTATATTTTGTTTTATGAGTCAGGCTATGTCAATCACCAGGAGTCCCGCCTTAGGCAGAAAAGCCAGCTGAATGGGTTTGGGCCAATCACCAGGAGACGGGGAGTTCTAGGCCTGCCATAGGGCTGGACTAGATGACCTCCAAGGTCCCTTCCAACTCTGTCCGATGATTCCGTAAGAGTCTCCTGCTTGGGCAGGGGGTTGGACTAGATGACCTCCGAGGCCCCATCCAATCCTGTCATTCTATCGTTCCGTACAGGTCCCCTGCGTGAGCAGAGGGTTGGACTAGATGACCTCCGAGGTCCCTTCCAGCTCTATTCTCTTCTCTCTACCTTCCAGCAATGGACTTCCGGAGCGACAAAGGCGACGATCTGGAGAACGGGAAGATTACCGTCCAGCTGCTGAAAAGCCGGACGGGAGAATTCGACTTGGGGTCCATCCTTTTCCTCAAGCTCAGAGGCCTGGGGATTCTGGAACTGGGCTGCCTCGGCGAGTGCGCCAGCCTGGAGTGGCTGGACCTGTCGGGCAACGGCCTGACCCACTTGGGCCCGCTGGCTTTGCTCAAAGCTTTAACCGTGCTCAACCTCTCGGCCAACCGCATCTCCAACCTGGATCCTCTGAGTGGCTGCGAGAAATTGCAGAGCCTCAACGCCGCCGGCAATCAGCTGCGCAACCTGCAGCAGCTCCAGTGCCTGCTGGGCTTGCAGCACCTGGACAACTTGCGCTTCCACAACGGCCCGGCCCGTCTCAGCAACCCCTTGTGCCTCGCCGCTGCCGGTTATCCGGCCATCCTGGCGGAAATGTTCCCGCAGGTGAAGGTCATCGACGGCGAGAGAGTGTCCGGACGGGGTAGCGAGCTTTACCAGCTGTGCAAGGATCTGGATCGCTCGCTGCAACGTCGCGGCAACGGCGGGGCTCCGCCCGACATGGCCGGCCGGGCCCAGCCCTGGGTGGACGAGGGCTACTGGGAGGTGCAGCCGGCCCGGAGGAGCTCCATCGTGGAGGAAGCTTACAAGCAGTTCAACGAGGCCTTGCTGGAATGCCGGGAACTGGGCAAGCAGGCGGACCACAGCATCAGCCAGGCCGAGCGGGCCCTCGGGGGCGGACGTCTCGAGGCCAACTCGTATCTCTTTTGAACCTCCGGTTACATCCCGGCCTATGTTGAGTCCTTGTGAACGCACAAGGATGAACCCCTCTTTTAACAAGTAGGCTGGAAATGCGGGGAAAACAAACCCCGCTTTTGTTAATTAGGTACATGTCCCCAAAGCCAAGGCAAACAAAGCACGATGCAAACGGAGAATTATCCAAGGCAAACAAACCACGATGCCAACGGAGAATTGTTCACGAGGCGAGGCAAACCAAATCCGATTCTGCGAAACTGGAGTCCTTTGCAAACGGTTGCCTTCGCCCACAACCTTCTCTTTTTATTTTGCAGCCCCAAGGCATGGCTTTTCATTGCCTTCTTCTCCTCCTCCCTTGGAGTCACCACGTTGCCTCCCTCTGTCCTGCTCTTGTTGGCGTTTGCGAGCGTCTGTGATGTCTCCCAGCTGTGAGTCCTCAGAGCCTGACTCAGCTTCCCAGCACAGCTGGGTCTCAGTCTAAGCATGAGTCGAAGGCCTGGCTCCTCGTCAGACTGTAAGTGCTGGAGCTCATCAAAGCCTTCCTCCGACTCGGATAGTTCCCCACGCCCCTCCTCCGCCTCCGATTTCCCAAACTCAGCTGCCGGCTCCAGTGGCTGGCACCGACTCACAACACCTCCCGGCTACTCAGCCCCAGATGTGCCGGGGAAGGGTCGAGGACTGCTCGCCACGGCCAACTCAGCGTAACCACCATGCCGTGGCCAGCTTGAGATGGCCAATGCAGGACGACAAAGACACCACGGCCAAGAAGACGCGGGACAAATTACCACGGCCAACTCATCTCAAGCAACGGCGTAATCGACTCGTTGCTACGTACTTGGTGTAGCCGACTCACCGCGGCCAATTCAAGAGGACCAACTTGGCATAACCGACTTGTTGTGACTAGCTCGGCGTAACCGCTGCGGAAGAAGAGAGGCTAATATTGAAGGGTGGAACAGACTCAGTTGAGGAAGGACGCCGAAGGAGGAACGAAAAGGAAGGGTGAAGGAGAAAGATTAAAATGATTTCTTTAAAGTTCTTGGAAATATTTACATTATATGTTGTGCAATTGTCCACGGTGAGTTCTTCCGTCGCAAGTTGGCCGTTGACAGTTGTTCTGTGGTGAGTGGGCTGTGCCAAGTTGGCCGTGTCAAGTTGGCCACGTTGAGTTGGCCGTGCCAAGTTGGCCACGTGAGTTGGCCATGCCAAGTTGGCCACGCCGGATTGGCCATGCCAAGTTGGCCACACCAATTTGACCATGCCAAGTTGGCCACATTGAGTTGGCCATGCCAAGTTGGCCATGCCAAATTACTCGTGCCAAGTTGGCCATGTTGAGTCAAGTTGGCCATGTGAGTTGGCCATGTAAAGTTGGCCATGTAAAGTTGGCCACGCCGAGTTGCCCGTGCCAAGTTGGCCACGTTGAGTTGGCCATGCCAAGTTGGCCACACCAAATTACTCGTGCCAAGTTGGCCATGTTGAGTCGGCCGTGCCAAGTTGGCCACGTTGAGTCGGCCACATTGAGTTGGCCATGCCAAATTTGCTGTTCCTAATTGGCCACATTGAATTGGCCATGCCAAGTTGGCCACACTGAGTTGGCCATGCCAAATTGGATGTGCCTGTTTGGCCACGTCAAGTTGGCCGTGCCACATTGGTGACACCGAATTGGTCATGCCTAGTTGGCTATACTGTTGGCCACATCCACTAGAGAAGGGACATGGGGATCACACTCACACTCACACACACACACACACACACTGATGCTGCTTAGCAAGGTCACCACAATTCTCTCCCAGTTTAACACCCGGGTTTCTCCGTTAAGCAAGCATTTGAGGAATCTCGGCCTAGTTGGCACAGCCGAGTGATGGTGGAGGGAATCAAGCCAGGATGTTCCTGCAACAGACGCCCCCTCCCCATTCTCCGGGGCTAGCAATTTCACTAAGCCAGTGGTTCTCAACCTTTTTAATGCCGCGACCCCAAACCGGTCGTAAGTCGAGGACTACTCCACCGGTCGTAAGTCGAGGACTACTCAACTGGTGCAGCACCGTTGGCAGAATGGGACTTTTGGCGGGCTCAGCAGGGCAGAGACAGCCTGGACCATTCCTACTGGCTTTGGAAAGCCAATAGAATGAGACTCTATTCAAGAGAGTCTCTTCGATTGGCTTTCAAAAGCCAACAGAATCAAAGGGAGTAGCCCAGCTAAGGAAAAGGAGAGAAAAAAATGGCGGACGGCGTTGTTTGGCGACCCCCGTGAAATGGCTGTTCGACCCCAAATGCGGTCCCGACCCACAGGTTAGAGAACCGCCGCACTAAGCGGAGACCCGACAACCCATTAAAACAACCACAACCACGACAACAAAACTGGGAACCTTGGCAATCCTGCTTTCTTTTTTGGGGGGGGGGTGTCCGTAAAACGGACAAGCCGGGTGCGACTTCGCAACTGGGAACCGCCGCCTTTGCCGGGACGGGAAACCCCGGAAGCTGAATTCGCACGGCGTCCCCCCGGGGGGACGTTCCCCACGACCTTCGCCGCCCCGCACGGCTCGGTGGCGTGTCGCGGGTCTCCCGCCCGTTCGTAGAAGGGAGGGGCCACCCCCTCCCCCCCACACTGCCAAAATCGTAGAAGGCCCGCCCGGCGCCGCCTGGCCTTCCAAGGTCGCTACCCACGTTGGGCGCCACAAGAATACCGCGGGGAGCGGAAATGACAGGCAGGAGGGGTCCAGGGTGAAAACGCAGCTTGCAATTTTATTGGGGGGACCGAGAGAGATCGGACAGGGGGGGTGATGCTTCGGGAAGCAGCCCTTCCCGCTGACGATGGCGCCGATGCCCGGGTCTCCGCATGGATGCCAGTCAGCTGGGTCCGTGCCGCTCTGTTTAGGGGGGAGAAGAGAGAGAGAGAGAGAGAGAGTGAGAGAGAGAAGGGGAGTCCTTCAACGTCCTCTCCGGGGAGGGAGGGGTCCCCCAAAGCCCCCAGGGGATGAAGCACCTTGGAAGCGACCTACGGGGGGGGGGGTTATAAGAGGGAGAAGGGGTGCCTGCATGCCTTCAACAAAGAGGAGGGAAGATCCTTGTAGCTTGGGGTTGAAACGGGGGAGAGGAGGAGGAGGAGGAAGAACAGGAAAAAGAGAAAGAATAGGACGAGGAAAAAGAGGAAGGAGGAGGAGAAAGGAGGAGGAGGAGGAGGAGGAGAACGGGAGGAAAAAAAGGAAAGAGCTGGAGAAAGAAGAAAGAAAGACAGAAAGGAAGGAAGGAAGAAAGGGATGAAGGGAGGGAGAGAAAGTGAAAAGGGAGAGACAAGAAAGAAAAAGAGAAAGAAAAAGAAAGAAAGAAAGAAATGAAGGGAGGGAGGGAGAGAGAAAAGGGAGAGACAAGAAAGAAAGAGAAAAAGGAAAGAAAGAAAGAAAAAGGGATGAAGGGAGGGAGAGAGTGAAAAGGGAGAGACAAGAAAGAGAAAGAAAGGGAGAGAGAAAAGGGAGAGATAAGAAAGAAAGAAAAAGAGAGAAAGAAAGAAAGAAAAAGAAAGAAAGAGAAATGAAGGGAGGGAGAGGGAGAAAGAAAAGAGACAAGAAAGAAAGAGAAAAAAATGAAGGGAGAGTGAAAAGGGAGAGACAGGAAAGAGAAAGAAAGGGAGAGAGAAAAGGGGGAGACAAGAAAGAAAAAGAGAAAAACAGAAAGAAAGAAAGAAAGAAAGAAAGAAAGAAAGAAAGAAAGAAAGAAAGAGAAAGAAAGAAAGGAAGAGAAAGAAAGAAAGAGAAATGAAGGGAGGGAGAGGGAGAAAGAAAAGAGACAAGAAAGAAAGAGAAAGAAAGAAAGGGATGAAGAGAGGGAGAGTGAAAAGGGAGGGACAAGAAAGAATAAGAGAAAGAAAGAGAAAAAGAAAGAAAAAGAAAGGGATGAAGGGAGGGAGAGGGAGAGCAAAAAGGGAGAGATAAGAAAGAGAAAGAGAGAAAAGGGAGAGAGAAGAAAATGAAGGATGAAGGGAGAGAGAGAGAGTGAAAAGGGAGAGATGAGAAAGAAAGAAAGAAAGAAAGAAAGAAAGAAAGAAAGAAAGAAAAAGAAAGAAAGAAAACGATGTCCTTTCCTCAGTAGTGTTTCCCTGCTTACGCTCTTTCCTCCCAAACCTTTTCCCGATCCCAACCGGATGCCCCACTCGACGCACGGACACCGTTCCCTAGTTGGGTGATGAAACATCCACCACCAGGCTCGGAGACCGCCACGGGGCGCCTCAAAGTAAATCCTGCCTGCGGACTCTTCCTAATATCCCCTTCTCCCCATCCCGGCTTGGAGGATCCTCCGAAACCCCTTTTGGATGCCTCCTTCCATCCCGGACGGTCCCCCTTCTCTCCTCTCCTCTCCTCTCTCTCCTTTCCTCTCCTCTCCTCTCTCCTCTCTTCTCTCCTCTCTCTCATCTCCTCTCTCTCCTTTCCTCTCCTCTCCTCTCCTCTCTCCTCTCTTCTCTCCTCTCCTCTCTCTCCTTTCCTCTCCTCTCCTCTCTCCTCTCTCTCCTCTCTTCTCTCTCCTTTCCTCTCTCCTTTCCTCTCCTCTCCTCTCTCTCCTCTCTCCTCTCCTCTCTTCTCTCCTCTCCTTTCTCTCCTCTCCTTTCTCCCCTCTCCTCTCTTCTCTCTCCTCTCCTCTCTCCTCTCTTCTCTCCTCTCCCTCTCATCTCCTCTCTCCCTCTCCTCTTCTCTCTCCTCTCTTCTCTCTCCTTTCCTCTCCTCTCTCTCCTCTCTCCTCTCCTCTCTTCTCTCCTCTCCTTTCTCTCCTCTTTCTCCCCTCTCCTCTCTTCTCTCTCCTCTCCTCTCTCTCCTCTCTTCTCTCCTCTCTCTCCTCTCCTCTCTTCTCTCCTCTCCTCTCTCCTCTCTCTCTCCTCTCTCCCTCTCATCTCCTCTCTCCCTCTCCTCTCTCCTCTCTCCTCTCCTCTCCTTTCTCTCCTCTCTCTCCTCTCCTTTCTCCTCTCCTCTCTCTCTCCTCTCTCCTCTCCTTTCTCTCCTCTCCTCTCCTCTCTTCTCTCTCCTCTCCTCGCTCCTCTCCCTCTCTCTCTCCTCTCCTCTCCTTTCTCCTCTCTCTCCTCTCCTCTCTCTCCTCTCCTGCCTCTCCTCTCCCCTCTCTCCTCTCCTCTCCTCTCCTCTCTCCCCTCTCCTCTCTCTCCCCTCTTCTCTCTCCTCTCCTCTCTTCTCTCCTCTCTCCCCTCTCTCCTCTCCTCTACTTTCTCTCCTCTCCTCTCTCGTCTCTCTCCTCTCCTCTCCCTCTCCTCCCTCTCCTCTCCCTCTCTCTCTCCTCTCCTCTCTTCTCTCCTCTCCTCTCTCCTCTCTTCTCTCCTCTCCCTCTCATCTCCTCTCTCCCTCTCCTCTCTCCTCTCCTCTCCTTTCTCTCCTCTCTCTCCTCTCCTTTCTCTCCTCTCCTCTCTTCTCTCCTCTCTCTCCTCTCTCCCCTCTCTCCTCTCCTCTACTTTCTCTCCTCTCCTCTCTCGTCTCTCTCCTCTCCTCTCCCTCTCCTCTCTCTCCTCTCCCTCTCTCTCTCCTCTCTTCTCTCCTCTCCTCTCTCTCCTCTCCCCTCTCCTCTTTCTCCTCTCTCCTCTCCTCTCCTCTCCTCTCCTCTCCTCTCCCCCCCCTAGGTCTGGCTCCCCACAGGTGAAGACCGGCTACTTACCTGGCCGGCCTCGTCCGGGGAGGGTCAGGAAGGGAGACCCACGGAAAAGGCGAACTTCCCGGGAAGGTACCGGTCCTCGTTGGTCGCCTTGATGGCCTGGCACTCGGCTTCTTGTCGCCGCCTCGCCTCCTGAGGGCGGGCAGAGATGGGGAGAGAAAACCGGGGGGGGGGGGCGGGAAGTTGGCATCTCCAAGGACGGGGGGGGGCAGAGAGTGCGGAACGCCGACCAGTGGTGGGAAGAGACACCCTCACACACACACACACTTTTCGTCAGCTTTGTGGGGGAGGGGGCTGCGATGGGAACGGCTTTGCGGGCGGGGAAGGAGGAAACTGTGGAGGGGGATCCTTTTTCTGTTCTATTCTGTTTTGTTCCACATTCTATTCTATGTTCGGTTATTAATTCCGGTCTATTCTTATTTCTATTCTATGCTATTCTATTTTCTGTTCTATTCTATTTTCTATTCTATATTCCATTCCATTCCGTTCTGTTCTATATTCTATTCTATTCTATCCTATTCTATTTTCTATTCTATTCCAGTCTATATTCCTATTCTATTCTATATTTCCTATTCTATTCTATTCTTTCTATTCTATTCTGTTCTATATTCTATTCTATTTTCTATTCTATTTTCTATTCTATTTTCTATTCTATTCTATTCTATACATTCTATTCTATCTCTCTTCTATTTTCTATTCTATTCCTATTCTATATTCTATATTTCCCATTCTATTCTATTCTATTCTATTCATATTCTATATATTCTATTCTTTTCTATTCTATTCTATTCTATTATTCTTTTATTATATTCTATTCTATTCTCTATTCTAATTCTATACTATTCTATTCTATTCCTATTCTATATATTCTATTCTGTTCTATTCTATTCTATTCTTTTATTCTATTCTATTCTATTTATTCTAATTCTATTCTATTCTCTTTTCTATTCTATTCTATTCCTATTCTATATATTCTATTCTGTTCTATTCTATTCTATTCTTTTATTCTATTCTATTCTCTATTCAAATTCTATTCTATTCTATTATTCTTTTATTCTATTCTATTCACTATTCTAATTCTAATTTATTCTATTCTATTCTATTCTCTATTCTATTCTATTCTATTCTCTATTCTATTCTATATATTCTATTCTATTCTATCCCCTCTTCTATTTTCTATTCTATTCCTATTCTGTATTCTATATTTCCCATTCTATTTTCTATTCTATTCTATTCTATTCTAGTCTAGTCTAGTCTATTCGCCTCTATTCTATTCTACATTCTATCCCCATTTCTATTGTTTCTATTCTATTCTATACTGTATCCTATTCATTCCATTCTATATTCCATTCCATTCCATTCTATTCAATTCCATTCTATTCTATAATTCCATTCTATTCTAATTGCTGTTCTTGGTTTTTATTCTAGTCTGTTCTACATTCAAGGCCACCCTGTTTCCCCTCCCCCCCCCCGATTTTTCCAGCTTTTCATCCCAGGCCTTCCCATCTCTACTCCCCCCCCTTCCCCATCCTTTCCCAGGGGAAAGCCAGCAGCCTGGGCGATCCACAATGAAGTTCCGCAGGTGGCTTATTATCCCCCCCCCCCCGCGGGATCGTGGGAGACCCCAGACCCTCCCGTGACACCTAGGTGGGGATTCTGGGAGCTCGGCCTCCGCTCCCCCGGGCAGGGGGGGAGGAGTAGCTGGGATGCCGGCCCTGTGTGAGTGGGTGAGGAAGAGGAAGGCAGACCCACCTGGAAAAGGGGATTCTGCTCGGATAAACACCGGAGGGATTTGTTCAGCAGAGTTCCCGGATTGTTGTCGTCAAACTTGAAGCACGCCAGGCATTTCTGTCTCCTCTGGAGAAAGATGGGGGGGGGAGAGAGGGAAGGAGGCAGGGAGGGAGGAAGGGAAAAAAAGAAAGAAAGAAAGAAAGGAGAGGGAAGAAAGAAAGAAAGAAAGAAAGAGAAAGAGGAAAGAAAAGAAAGAAAGAAATAGAGAAAGAAAGGAAGAAAAACAAAGAAAAGAAAGAGAAAGAAAGGAGAGAAAGAGAAAGGCAGAAAGAAAAAGAAAGAAAGAAAAAGAAAAGAAAAAAGAGAAAAAGAAAGAGAAGGAAAGAAAGAAAAGAAGGAAAAAAATGAAAGAGAAAGAAAGACAGAAAGAAAAAGAGAAAGAAAGAAACAGGAGACAGAAAAAGAAAGAGATGGAAAGAAAAAGAGAGAAAAAGAGAAAAAGAAATGGGAGACAGAAAAGGATAGAAAGAGAAAAAGAAAGAGAAAGATAAAAATAAAGAAAAAAGAGAAAGACAGAAAAACAGAAAGAAAGGAGACAAAAAAGAGACAACCAGATAGAGGGAAAGAAAGAAAGAAAAGAAAAAAAGAGAAAGAGACAAAGAAAAAAAGAGAAAGAAACAGAGAAAGAAAAAGGAAAGAGAAAGAGAGAAAGAAGGAGAGAAAGAGAAACGGGAGACAGAAAAAGAAAGAAACAAAAGACAGAAAAAGATGGAAAGAAAAAAGAGAAAGAGAAAAAGAAAAGAGAGAAAAAGAAAGGGAGAGAAAGACAAACATACAGAGAGAAACAGAAAGAAACAGGAGACAGAAAAAGAGACACAGAAAGGGAAAGAAAGAGAAAGAAAAAGAAAAAAGAAAAAGAAAGACAAAGAGAAAGAAAAAGAGAAAGAAAGAGGAAAGAAAAAGAAAAAGAAAGAAAAGAGAGAGAAAGGAAGGAAATAAAACAGAAAAAAGAAAGAGAAAGGAGAGAAAGACAGAAAGAGAAAGAAAGAAAAAAGAGAAACAGAAAGAAACGGTAGACAGAAAAAGAAAGAGAAAGAAAGAAAGAGAAAAAAAAAGAAAAAAAAAGACAAAAAGAGAAAAAGAAAAAGAGAAAAAGAAATGGGTGACAGAAAAAGAAAAAGAGAGTGATAGAAAGAGGGAAAGAGAAAGAGAAAAAAGAGAAAAAGAAGAAGGAAAAGAAAGAAAAAGTAAGAAAGAGCAGGGAAGAAAAAGAAAAAAAACGGGAGACAGAAAAAGAAAGAAAGAAAAAGAAAAGAGAAAAAGAAAAAGAAAGAAAGACAAGGAAAGAAAGGAAGGAAAAAGAAAAAGGAGAGAAAGAGAAAGACAGAAAGAAAAAGAAACGGGAGAGAAAAAGAAAGAGAGAAAGAAAGAAAGACAGAAAAAAAGAGAGAAAAAGAGAAAGACAAACAGAAAGAGAAACACAAACAGGAGACAGAAGAAAGAGACAGAAACGGAAAGAAAGAGAAGGAGAAAAAAGAGAAAAAGACAAGAAAGAAAAAGAAAGAGAGGAAAGAGAAAGATAGAAAAAGAGAAAGATAGAAACAGGAGACAGAAAAAGAGACGGAAAGACAGAGAAAGACAGAGAAAGAAAGAGGGAAAGACAAACAGAGAGAAAAATAGAAACAAACGAGACAACCAGGGAGGGAGAGAAAGAGGGAAAGAAAAAGAGAAAGAAAAAAAGAGAGAAAGAAAGAGAAAGAAAAGAAAGGGAAAAAGTTATTTTTCTGTAATAACTTCTACTATTCTATGATCCTCTAAGGGTCTTCTGCTGAAGCAGGGGGTTGGGCTAGATGACCTCCCAGGTCCCTTCCAACTCTACGATTCTGTAATTCGGTCAGGGTCTCCTGCTCGAGCAGGGGGTTGGGCTAGATGACCTCTGAGGTCCCTTCCAACGCTGTGATTCCGAGAGAGGGGGATTCCTCTTTACTCCATTCCTGACTCCCTTTGAGAGGCTTGGCTTGGCTTAGATTCCTCCTGGCTTTGTTTTTGTTTTGCAAGAGTTGGCCCAGAGGGGAAGGGGGCAGTCCGTTGTGCTTTTGTGTGGGTGTGTGTGTGTTTTTGTGTACGCCCGCACTCACCCCGCCCGCTTTG